CCGGGGCGGGGTTGGGGTGTGGGGGGGGGGTGTGGGGGTGAACGCGCCCCGTTCGCGCACGCGCCGCCCCCGCGAGCGGCCGTCCCCGTCTCCAGGCGCGTCCGGCGGCGCGGCGCATGCGCGGGGGCGGCACGCGCAGGCGCGGCGCGGTGCACTGTGGGATACTGCGGCCCGGGCAGGCTGGTGAGGCGGCGCGCGCGGGGCCGGCGGGGGCGGCGGGGCCGGAACGGAGGCGGAGAACCGGGGGAGGGGGGAGAGCGAACCGGGCCGGGGGCAGCGAACCGCAGCGCCCCGCCCGCCCCTCACCCGCTCCCCGCTGTGTCTGCTGCAGCACCGGCGGAGCGGGCGGCGGCGCGATGGCCTCCAGCAGCGGCACCGACGTGATCCAGGTCACCAACGTCTCGCCCAGCGCCAGCTCGGAGCAGATGCGGACCCTCTTCGGCTTCCTGGGCAAGATCGAGGAGCTGCGCCTCTTCCCCCCCGAGTGAGTGCGGGCCTGGCGCCGCCTCGCCGCCTCCCCCTCCGGCCCTTCCCCCGCGGCCCAGCGCCGCCCCCGCCGCCCCCCCCCGCGGCTCCCGGCCCGGGCCGCCCCCGCTCCGGGATCGCGCCCGGCCGCGGCCCGCTCTGCGCCCGGGGGCTGCGGGGGCGGCCCGCGCTGCGCACCCCGAGAGGAGCTGCTGCTCCTCCTGCTGCTCCCCGCACGGCTCTGCTCCGTCACGGGATTGCGGGATTAATGCGGGTGACACGTGCGGCTCCGGGGAAATTCGCGTTTGTCTCCAGGAGCTGTTTGTCCAGGGTTGTGCCCGCTGAGCCTCTCTTTTCTGCGTCACCTCCGCAGGGCCAAAACTTCTGGGTGTAGATAAACGCATTTGTTACAAATAATTTTGTGCTAGAGGAACAGCTTAGCCCTAATTTACAAAGAGCACGCTTTTAATATTTGTGTTCCTTGCGAACAAATCTGTGCTGAGCAGAAAGGTGACTGCTAACAGACAAATACACGTTTCTCATTTGCACATCTTGCCAGGAATTCTGTGCAAATTATAACAAATAATGCACATTTCAAGTGTGTATATAACTGAAAATAAAGTTTCGGGCACCCTGGTAATTTACAAATAGCCACAAAGTAAAGGAAATAAGATAGTTTTTATGTCTTCACTTGCAGTTAAGTTCTAATGAAAATAAATAGTGCTTTCAGAATCCTTTCTGATGCAATATAAAACTTGGGTGTTAGCAGTACTGATGGTTTCAGTTTGATTTACAGAGCCTGGTGTTATTATATGTTGGTGTTTTGCATATTTGTTATAGAAGTTAAAGGTTTTCTTTCAACCACAATGAAGATTAATCAAACAAGACCACAATCAATTATTTGTAATACCCAAAATTACTTGGATATTTTTATTTTAGGGGAAAAAAAAACTATCACCAAACATTTGTTTTTCTTCCTTGAGGCTTCCATCCCTTCTAGCACAAACCAAAGACAGCTCCAGAGGGAGTTTCCTTGTTCCCAGCTGGGATAACTGACATGGTAGGAGCTCACCTGTGACAGGTGCAGTCCTTTCCTGGGCTGCTCTGTATTTGGACACTTTGTCTCATTTTTCAGGGCTGTTGAGGGGATTTGTGTCTTTGAAACTTTGTAGCTTTAGATACACATTAACTAATCTGTTCGGAGATTGCTTCAGTGCCTTGGTGTCCTTTCCCTTGTGTGAGGAGGGCCCTGGCACTCAGGCCCTGCAGATTTTTCCTGGACTGATGGGAATCTGCTCTGGGTCACTTCAGGGCCCCCAGTTCCACTTCACCCCAAACAGAGGGACATTTCCTAATAGTGCCACGTTCTTTTTCTGTTCCTTCTCCTTCAAATTCCAGCTGACTTTTTTCCCTGCCCATGGTGTCCATCCATTTTTGGAGGGGTATGGGATATAAATTATAATCTGTGAATTCTCCCCAACATCTGGGTTCCTTTCTATCCTGGATCCTGCTGGGATTTTCCCTTGCCTGTAATGTTTGAGGAGCCAATCCCATTTCCATTGCTCCGCCTCCTGGTTTGATCCGTGTCACTCTGACCCTTATTCTCCTGCACTCCCAGATCATGTGTAACTTCCTGAGCTTCTCCAGATTCCTGGTTTTCCTTCTCTCCCCTCATCCACCTCCTTTCCCCAGTTTATTTAATCCCCTGTTTCCCATTCGTTGTATACCTCAGCTGGGTCTTTAATGCACAACCAGTTTTGGGACTTCTTCCAATTTTCCTCCTCCTCCTTCTGCTTTCCCCAGACTCCACTGCCTGGTTCTCATCTTTATTGTATTCCATAAAACTCCATCCAAACTGGAAAGTGGAGGGAATGGATTTCTGAGTTTCCTGTAGTCCAGCCTCAGGAAATCCTTGTGTGTCCCAGCATTCCAGTGGCTGAGAGACAATTCCTGAATGTTTCAGTCTTGGGTGAATTAGAATAATGATGGATGGTGGCTTTTTTTGGGAGCTGTTGAGAACATCCAGTTCTTGATGAATTTCACCCAGCTTGGATTTGAGAGTGAGTGGAAATACCATTTTTAAAAGTGCAATACACAGATGTAAATTAAATGTCAGGCTGCAGAAGCATTGCCTAACACATTTTCAGTTGTTATTTTAGGTTCATTATTTTGGGAAAAAGCTCAGCTATCCCAAAGCATTCCCAGTGACACTCCTGGCTGTAAACAGGATCTGCTGAAGAGTCAGTAGGATTTGCTCTGGTTCACATTCCTTTGTTATCACTGGCATTTTAAAAATGCCTGAAAATATTGGGCTGCATTTCTTTAATGAATTGTGTAATTTTATTCAGTTTAGATTAGGAACTCCTTCAGCTCTGCCATCACCCCTCATTTTACTTTTCTTTACAGTTTTACTGTGATTTTGCTAAACACCTTCTACTAATGCTTCCTTGGGTTTATGTTATTATTCTTTTTTATTTCTTCTTATTTCTTATTAATTATTACTTATGGGCTAAAAAAGGCACCATTTTGCCAAGCTGCTGTGGATTCCTGGGTACAAAAGAGCCACCAGATTTAAATTATTTTTCTCTCATTTATCACTGCAGTTGCTTCCCAATTTATTCAGTCTGCAAGCTGTGGGAGCAAGTAGCTGTTTCTAATTTTAATGCTTCAGAAGCTGCAATGTGCTGGCTCCAATTTAGTTTTCCACATCAGGTGAAATGTAAGGTTATTAAAGTGTGGTCTGACAGACACTGGGGGCAGTTGTGTGTGTTGGGCTCAGTGGGGCTGAAGGTGAGGGAGCTTTTGGCATTTGCAGTGCCAAAAATAGACCCTGGATCTGTCTGGTGGTGTCGGAGTTGTTCCCTGAATTCTGACAACCCCCAGTGCTGAAAGGCTTGATCAGCCTCAGCAGCCCAGATCAAACTGCTCTGGAGCTGGGATGCCTTTGAAGTCGGATGTTTAGAGTTGTGGCTGGGAATCCAGGTAGGAAAAGCAGATTTTTGTCAGGATCGGTGATGTTTTCAGAGCTCCCCAGGCTCATCTGGACCTCTGGCCTGGAGTAGGTTTAGGACTTGCTGCTGCTTCCACTCCCTGCCTGGGCCTTTTGGAGGCAGCTTTTAACTCATCTGTCCCACAGTTCTGTTTGCAGAACAATTTTTCTTCCTTTTACTTTGTACACCAAATTCCAGCAAATTCTTCCCTGCTTTCAGCACAGGGGGGCTCTTGGAACCCATTCTGGACCTTGCCTGGCTTGACTGCACCTGGGTTTTCAGTTAGGTTTGGTTTTAGGGAAGTCACAGCTGTAGTTCTACAATTATTTCCTGTTGCAGGATGTGGATATTTCTGGGTTGGTTTTTCTTTGAAGTGACTCAGAACTTGTCAGTTTTGGGTTTGTAGGTTGACAGACATTTGTTCTGAGCTGGGAACAGACCTACCTTGGGGAGGGGTGCTGTGTTCAGCTTTTCATTCCTGCCTGAGCTCCTGAAATTTCCTCGTTTCCCTGCTGAAGGACAGGCAGGAGCTCGGCACTGGGCACTCCTCAGGCTGTGGGAGCAGTGAAATTTAGTCTAGAAGCTGGAATGGAATTGAGTTGATGAATAAAACAATCCCAGACTGGTTTGGGTTGGGAGCGACCTTAGAGCTCATCCAGTGCCACCCCCTGCCATGGGCTGGGACCTTCCACTATCCCAGGGTGCTCCAGCCTGGCCTTGGGCACTGCCAGGGATCCAGGAGCAGCCACAGCTTCTCTGGGAATTCTGTTCCAGAGGCTCAATACCCTCCCAGCCTGGAATTCCTTCCCAATATCTCATCTCTCCCTGCCCTCTGGCAGGTCAAAGCCATGAGTGCACACGCTGCCCCTACTTGCCCTTGTCCCGAGTCACAACAATCCTTTAATCATCACCCTCTTCATTTCACAATCCACCTTCATTTGGGGCCTAAAGCAGGGAGTGTGAAACCACAGGGTTTAACTGAGACACAATTGGTAACTTTTTCTCTTTTTTCAGCCAACTTTTCCTCCCAGCCAGGGCAGAATTTGCACTTAGGTGGATTCATTGCGCACAACAGAACTGACGTGCAGCTGGAGTGATAACAGAGCTGATGTGCAGCTCCAAGAGAGGGAATGTAACAATTGGGGTGTGGTTTTGGGGTTGATTCTGTGCTTCCCTGCTGTCCCTGAGTGCTGGCTCTCTCTTGCAGTGACTCCCCCTTGCCGGTGTCGTCGCGCGTGTGCTTTGTAAAGTTCCAGGACCCCGACTCGGCCGTGGTGGCCCAGCACCTGACAAACACTGTGTTCGTTGACAGAGCCCTCATAGTCGTTCCCTATGCTGAAGGTTTGTAACTTGTTTGATGTTCTATGGGGCCACCCTTGGGGTGGTGGTTGGTTCCTGTCTAGTGCACAAAATTGAGCGGTAGTCCTATGTCAAACATGTCAGAGATTGCCATTCTGAAACCCTTGGTATATTGCCTTTGGCCCCTGGATTTGATCAGATTGTTTCCATAGAGACACCAAATCAAAGTGGAAAGTTTTGTGTGGCTTCAAAGTGTAGAATAAGAGCGTTTTAGGCAGAATTCTATGCAAATTTTGCTCTGTGTCAGTCTCAATGAGACATTTTCCCAAACAGACTGTAATGCAAACAGGTCAATATTTTAAGGAAATTTTACCTTATTGATTGTTTGCCACTTTCACTCTCTTCATGAGGATGATTTCTCCCTCCCTGAGAATGCGTGGGAGAGGAATTAACATTCCTTTGGGATAAGCTGCCATTGCATTTATTTGGGAACATCCCCAAAAAAGGCCCTCACTCTCCTTGTGGAGTCCAGTATACCAAGGGTTTGAATAATTACGGTTTAATTCAAAAGTGACAACTTCCAAGAGGTGCCACATGGGCACTGGTCCTAGTTTTTAATTCCAAGTTTTCTTGTTCATCCTTGATATATTTAATAGAATTTCACTAAATAATAAACTCTTCTCTCTGTTATTTGTGTGTGTGATTTTTGTAGTGGAGAAGGCAAATGCAAAGCCCTTCCAGATGACTGAAAAACAGTGGGTCCTCTGCAGCTACAGGGGATTCTAGCCATTAACTAAAGGCCAGCAAGCACTCAAGTCCCCAAGTGTTTTCCTGGTGTAACCACTTGTTAACTACATTTTCTCTTCTTCTTTTTATTTTTACATTTTAGGGTGTTACAGTAATTTGAAAGGCAATGAGCAGGGTTTTTGGAACTTACCTTAAAAGCAAAGTGCTGAGAAGACACCTCTTCTTACAGAAGTCTTATTAAACTCTTCTAGACTTGCTTTAGAAGTAACTGATTTCCATTGTACTTGTGCATTTCTTGATTTACTTCTGGGAAAGGTTGAATTGAATAAAATCTTGCAGATTAAGTCATACTACAGTGCTAAGTTTGGTACATGGCCCTGGGTCACACCTGTAATCTGTCATGCTGGAGCTGTCTCTTGAGGCCTGGGGAGCTGTCTTATCTTATCTTTGTATTCCTTAAGCTTAAAAGATACGAAAGTTAAGGTTAAAAGATGTCCAACCTAATTCCTGGAGTGTAGGAATGTGCAGCAGTGTGGCCTCTGACTAAGCCCTGCTGCTTCCTGGGGGTCCAGAACCCCTTCTGCACTGGAGTTACTGCTCCTGCTGCCACTGCTGGAGATCAGCAGAGCTGAAAGGCTTCTTGTCCCTGTGTGGGTGTTAAACACAGCACCAGGCCAGTGAGATTCTGCTGGAATATTCTCCAAGGCCCGTGGGAATAATGCCAGTGTTTAATTCTTCCTACAAGGATAAACCCACTTTTCTCTTTGTCAGTCTGACTTTGTCCACTGGGGATAAACCTGGCGCATAGAGAAACCTGCCCAGCAGCTGTGCTTCAGAAAATCAAATTGTTAAAGTAGAATATTTTACTGGGCCTGTTAAGGAGTCACCCCTGGGCTGTACCTTGCGTTGTTGAACAGCTCAGAATTTAATGGCCTTGGCACATCACAAGAGAGATGTTCAGCCCATGAAGTCTTGCCCCTGGGTTGATAATCCCATACTTCTGTCCCTGTGCTGGAGTACAGTTTCTCCCCAAAATTCAGCCTGCCAGGGTCCCAATTGAACAAGAAGCAGCATTTTCCCCAGCCCACAGTGCCACTGCTGATGTGCTTAAAGCCAGGCCTGTGCTGAATGGGGCCCTCCTCTCTCTGATTTCTGCTGTGCTAATGAACCTGTGTGATTATTGCCTGTCACTAAAGCAAATGTTTATTATCTGTTTAGTGCAATAATTCCCCCCCTGTCCCAAGTTTTAGCTCACACAGACACTTTGGTGTTGGCTGTTGCTTTGTGTTATAGAACTATACACAAAGGCTACGGTAAGGTTTAGTATTTGTCATTTTCTCTGGGCTAATTCCTAGATTTGGAAGGAACTCTTTAAGGTTAAAGATGGCTGGGGGGGGTGTTTAGGTTCTTTGGTTAATGTTTGTTTCTTTTTGTCTGTTTCTTTTTCTTTCATTTCTACACATTCATGCAGTATTTCATGGTTCTAACAAAGCAGCAGTAAAAAAAGCTCTTGAAGCATGAAAATTAACTGGTGAGGGGCCTCATTGCTTTTTTTTAAATTATAGTTTATTTAAATACTTTTTAAAGAAACGATTAGAGGATCAGATGCATGAATTTTTTTTTAATGGATGCAGATCTTCTATGAGGTGTCTCGAGTTAAGTCTGAGGATTTGTATTTAGATGCCAGAAATGTTGTAGTTGCACTAATTTGAAATGTTTAGCTGTAATTGATAAATATCCTCTTGAGACATAATTTTGCATGCCAAATGACCCCATAATCTCTCTGTAGGTATGTTGATATATTTATGCATTCCTGCCCTTTGCCTCCATGACCTTTTTCCCCTGTCCCTCCATAACTTTGGGTATCTAAAGTGCTGCCAGCTCAGTGCCACGAGCCAGATATCAGTGCTGTGTATTGTACATTTGTGTAGATTATCGGCACTTCTCAGTATAGGTGGGAGGAACCATTACCTTTATTTAACAGTGGTTTTTCTTTTTTGTTGTTGTGTTTTACAGTTCTTTTCCCTGGTTCAGCCTGAACTATATACCAGGCCCTGCTGAAAATACCACCCAACAGTTTTCTTCTGCAGCTTATCCAGTTTCTCTTAAGTGCCCTGTACATATTGTATGTTTTATGATGAGATGCAGTTTCTTAATATGTATTACAGAAACACTACTGGTATTTGCAACTATATAGTAAAACTGTTTTATTGAACTCTCATTTTGGGGGCTTGGGCACATTAACAAATTAATCCATCTGTATAGGGCTTTTGCTGTTGGATAGAGTAAAACTCCCTCCACACCTGTTTGCCAGTAGGGCCCTGAGCACTCTGTGTGCAGAGCAGGCAGCGCAACAGCCCCTGGGCTTAGCTGGCTGCAAGACTTTGGGCCACGAGTCCCCTGTGCCACAGCAGGTGGCAGCAGCATTATTGGTGCTCTAGGCTGGCACATATCGGAGCAAAATGCATTTTACTGCACAGGTAAGGAATGTGCCAGCATCCCTGTGTGTATCCCAGCCACAGACACAGCCCCAGCATTCCCGGAGAGCCGCATTCCATGTGACACGTCAGCAAAAGCCCTACCCAAAACACCCATCCCTTCTCTTTTAAGTTTGCCAAAATTTGTATGGTAGGTGTAAAAGAAAACATAGTGAACTGTACCATATTATTAACCCCTAAATCCAACTTTTTTTGTCTTGTGTATCTTGATTTTTCTGTGTGCTTTGTAGTGAAGCAGCCGACACGAGTCGTTGTTCATAAAACAGCTTTTGAAAGTTGAGAGCACTCTCACCCCTGGAGAACCGACTGTGCTTGCTTACGTTTGGTTCATGACTTAAAAATCGAGTACAGGTGATGAAACCTTGGCAGTGTTAACAACAAAGTAGTGTGTATTGTGCTATTTTTTTGCTCTAGAAACTTAACCTTTTGTAGAGAAAAAGGAACAGTCAAATTGTCACCCATTGAAGTTGCATTCTGACAAAAAAAGTTAATGCTAAATATTAATAGCCATCAAGCTTTGTATTTTAGCCAACATAAGTACTTTCAACAAACTCAGGTGGTGTATCAGGGAGACTTTGCTGGGTGTATTTGTGTATTTGGTGCCTCTGGGCTGGGATGCACTCTAATGCCAGGCTGTTTCCCTGCAGGAGTCATTCCTGATGAGACTAAGGCTTTGTCTCTGTTGGCACCAGCTAATGCCGTGGCAGGGCTGCTGCCCGGGGGTGGCCTGCTGCCCACTCCCAACCCTCTCTCTCAGGTAGGCTGGGGAACCCCTGGGTGTCTCCTGCTGCATTCCCACTTCATTCCTGCTGTTTCTTTCAGGACTGGTGTGTTCATTCCAGTTCCAGGGCCCTGATGGATTGGGACAGCTCTGATGTGAATTGGGGCACGAGAGCCACGAGTTGTTAGATGGAATATCCCGATTTCCCTATTTCCTGCTTTCTCAGGGCCCTGTTTGTGCCTCCTACCCCTCTCACCCACTGTACTTTGCAGATGTGACAAGCAGTAGAGATCTCACAGATTTTAACTTCCTCAAGTCCAGGGAGCTGCCATGCTGTGAGATTCCCTTCATTAATCCTCCAGCTGAGGGGAAAATGGGAGTTTGGTTGTGTGAACCCACAAGAATTCATGTGGAAGATGAACAGTGAGAATTGCACATTGTGGGAGAAGTTGGAGTCACAGCTCAGCTCTTAACAGGGCACAGAATCAAAGTGCAGGAGGCAAATTAATCATAATAAAACCTCATTAATTCTGCACTTCTCAAACCCACCTCAGCTCCTGCTTAGCTGAAGGACCCCCTGGCCATGGAGCTCCTCAGGAGGGAAGAGCCTAAATTTAACCTTTGAAACCCAGGGAAGGGGCCAGAAGAGCCAAATACAACCCAGAAGATTTCATTCACTGAAAACTGTGCATAAAAATCCTGGAAACGGTTGTTGAGCCACCTGAGTTCCAGCTGTGTCTGAAGCCCAGGCTGTTCACAGTGTTGTGTTGGGTTTGGGTGTCTTGTCTCAATCCTCTCATGTGAAATGGCCCAAACTGAACTGCTTTCAGGAGCCTCCTGCTCTCCCAGTAGCTTCTTACCCAAATTTAGAGACATTTGCAGGGATGCAGTATTTTTAAATTGCCTTTTAACATCAACCGTGGCCATCTCAACCCTAAAATGAATTAGAAATGGGGCAATAGCCTCAAAAACTTAAAATGAATTTCCATTTTAGCTCTGAAAAATAACTTCATTTTCAACTGTCACTTCTTCAACTTTTGAAATGCTTTCCTCCTTCACCCACCTTGATTTCCCCTGCCCACTGACCTCACTGAGTGATTTTTGTCTCTGCCACAGATTGGTGCTGTCCCTTTAGCTGCTTTAGGAGCTCCTGCTCTCGACCCTGCCCTTGCTGCTCTTGGGCTTCCTGGAGCAAACCTGAACTCCCAGGTACGTCCTCATTCCAAAAATATCCTTTATTGCCCCCTCTTGGCTGCTCTGAGAGTGCTTTTCGTTAGGATCAGTGCACAGCCACTGCCTGGGAACTCCAGGGATTGGTTCCTGCCTGGAATAAAAAAATACCTGCTTGAATATCAAATTAAATGTTGGAAGGGGCCAAGGAATAATTTGGGAATAGCAATGAAATATTTCAAATATATGTCATTATCAGGCCATGAACCTGCCTTGTTCTTCAAGTAAGAAGTAGTTTGACTTTAATTTTGTAGGTGTCAAAAATGTAAGGAAATTTCATCAGGTTGTCACAGCTGAATAAAAAAGGCTTTTAAGTACTAAGAATATTGAGTATATTTATATCAATAAAAAAAATCCATAAAAATATATTGATGATATATATTTAAGATAATATTTTTTAAAGCAACAATAATTTAATGCATTGCTACTGCTATCATACATTTTTATTTTGTTCCCATGTGGAAGAACAAGCAAATGATGGGGAAAATTGAATAACAAATGAAAAAAGAGCTGTAAAATACATTTTTTCATGGAATATTTAAATGTTTGTGAGTTGGCATTGAGGTCTTCAGTGGGGACAGACAGCTTAGAGAGGGCTCTGTTCTCTTGCAGTGCCAGAAATGAACTGTACACTAAAGTCATTTGTACATAATTATAGATCTAACCCATAACCCATATAGATCTACTCCACCCCAGCAGTGGATTTTTATCTATTTGGATTTTTAACCAGTTGTGGTTTTAACCAGTTGTGGTTTTAACCAGTTGTAGTTTTGCCTGTTTGTATTTTTATCCATTTTTGTTTTTATCCATTTTTGTTTTTATCCATTTGTATTTTTAACCATTTGTATTTTTGTCTGTTTGTATTTTTAACCATTTGTGGGTTTAACCATTTGTGTTTTTAACCATTTGTGTTTTTAACCATTGGTGGTTTTATCCATTTTCATTTTTATCCATTTTCATTTTTACCCATTTGTGTTTTTACCCATTTGTGTTTTTATCCATTTGTGGTTTTACCCATTTGTGTTTTTACCCATTTGTGGATTATTCCTGACCCAGGGCAGGGCTGGCTTTGGCTGCCCCTGAGCCCCTCGCTGCAGCCCCAGCCGCTGCAGCCCAGTGTGGCCTTTCCTCCTTGCTGGGGGTGCTGTGCTCTGCTCTTCCAGCTGGGAGGGGACATTCCAAGGAATCTTCTCTTGAGCTCTCACATTTCCCAGCCTGGTTTTAACTTTGTTTTTCCCTCACAGTCTCTCGCAGCAGATCAGCTCCTCAAACTGATGAGCACAGTGGATCCAAAGTAAGCAGCAGCAGCATTCCCAACCCCTTGTCTTGCACTGCTGGGGAGTACCCATGGCAATATCTGTGGGAATATCAGTGTCCTGTCCTGCTGGAGCTGATGCCAGCTTGGAAGGGCCCTGGAGCACCCTGGGCTGGGGATGGTTCCCTGCCCGTGGCAGGGGGTGGGATGAGATGGGCTTTGTGTCCCTCCAAACCTAAATCACTCCAGGGCTCCCTGCTCCTGTGAGCTGGCTCAGTCTGACAGTGCAGACCTGGATCCCTTGGATTCCTCACTCCTGAATTCCTGGAATTTTGTGTTGCCCAGGTTGAACCATGTGGCTGCAGGTCTTGTGTCCCCCAGTCTGAAATCAGATACCTCCAGTAAAGAAATAGAAGAGGCCATGAAGAGAGTCCGAGAAGCACAGTCCTTAATTTCTGCTGCTATAGAGCCAGGTAATTCCAGCCTGGAATGAGCCATTCCAGCCAGGATGGGGCTTGGACACAGCACAGGATAAAAACTGATGGGCTGCAGGGCACTGCCTTCCTGCCTTGGTCTGTGGGGAATTCATTTATTGGGATTTTAATCCTCCTGCAGTGCATGCTCTGTGTGTCCTGCAGAAATGTGCTGGAATTAATCTGTTGATTTTCCCAAAATTCACTGATTTGAAGAATAAGTCTCTTTTTTGGAGCTTGTTTCGGCAGGTTTGATTGTAGAACAAGCTCTGTCACAAATGTCAGAGGCACCAAATCTGAGAGGCAGAAACCTGAACACTGAAAATACAGAATATTCATCAGTTCTGCAGCCTCCTGATGATTTCTAGGAAGGAACAGAACTCCTGTTCTTGTTCTTGCTTACCTCAAGGCTTTTTGTGGGAAATTCAAAGCAGTCTCTTGAGAGGTTCTCCAGCCCCTCACAAAACACCAGATTCTGGGATTTTCATGGAATTTTCTATTGCCCTGCAGCCATCAGCTTTTCACTGACTTAAATTAAGGTTTTTTCTGGATTTTGACTTCTCCAGATTTGCAGAAAACTGTTATTTTATGTCACAAACATGTCCCTGTCCTCTGCTGGTTCTTTTTGTCCTCTTGTGAAGAAAATACAGATGAGCCTTCATTTCAAACAGCAAAATCAGGTTGATTTATATCAATTACATGAAGCTCCAAGTCATTTCCTTAAGAAAATCTTTTTGAATATTAAAAAAAAACATTGACTTTTATTCTGCTTTTCCTTTTTCAGACAAAAAAGATGAAAAAAGAAGACATTCGAGGTCGAGGTCACGCTCGAGGAGGAGGAGGACACCTTCCTCATCCAGACACAGGTGACTGAGCAATTCCTTAAAAACACCTCCCACAGCTGGGACAATTCCTGCAAAACTTATTCTTGGGAAGACCCTGGGGTTTGATTGAGGGCTCTGAAGATTTATTGACATTTCAGTGCAAAGCTCCTGTGCAGGACGGGGAGAGCTGTGGTGGATTTTGGGGGTTTCCTTAGCCCTGAGCAGCTGGGCTGGGAACATCCCAAAATGTCCCTGCTGTGACCCCCATGTTGGTGTGTCCCTGGCAGACGCTCCAGGAGCAGATCGAGGAGAAGATCCCATTCCAAATCCAGAAGCAGGAGGCGATCCAAAAGTCCGAGGAGGAGGAGATCTCATTCCAGAGAGAGGAGCAGGAGGTCTCGGAGCACATCCAAAACCAGGTATTGACTCCAGGGAATCCAGTCCTGAGCAGGGCAGGGATTGTCCCCCGTGCTGGAGCCACCCCTGTCCCTCCCAGCTCTGCACATCAGCAAGTGCTGTTTGAAAGTGACTTCAGCTTAATCTTTCTTCTACTAAAAGGGATAAAAAGAAAGAAGAGAAAGAAAAGAAACGTTCTAAAACTCCCCCCAAAAGCTACAGCACAACCAGAAGATCCAGAAGCACAAGCAGGTACAGGAATGGTTTTCCTTGCTCTCTGTTCCCAGCAGGATTTTGATGCACTTCAATATTAAATAGAAAAAAACATTGTGATAGAGCAGCTGGTCTGTGGAGGGTGTCCCTGCCCAAGGAAGGAGCTGGGCTTTCAGGTCCCTTCCAACCCAGACTCTGCCTGGATCCCACTGGATCATGATTCCAATGTGGGTGATCTGGTGCAGGCACAACAGCACCTGTGTCTGTAGATACTTTCATTTTCCTGCAGTGTTTGAGGTAAATTCTTTGGGCTTACAACAGTTTCTCCTTGCTGTGTGTCAGAGTCAGATGCTGCAGGGTCCCTGCCAAGCTCTTCCTGATTTAGGGAATAAATCCAGGCAAAACTGTTTGATTTTTCAAAAAAAGCTTGCAAATTTAACTTGCAGTTTTAACAGCTCTTTAGTACCCTGTGAGCAGGGCTGGGGTTGGAGCTGGGGATGCATTTGTGGTTTCAACAACGCGAGCTCCTGTGTCTCCCTGCAGAGAACGGCGGCGCAGGCGGAGCCGGAGCGGGACACGCTCCCCGAAAAAGCCCAGGTCTCCCAAACGGAAAATGTCCCGGTCCCCGTCACCCAGGAGGTCAGGGAAGCACTTGGCTGGAGAGAATGGTGTCTGGGTGGGAAATTCCCAAATTGTGACCTACAGGGAGGCTCCCAGGGGATTCTGTTTTGGGGGGAATCTTTGCTGCTCGTGCGGGGCTGCGCTGGGGTTGGCTGGGAGCTCCAAGGGCCAGGGGTGGTAGGAGGAGAACAATTGTGCCACGATTCCCAGTCCCTTTGGCTCTGCACAGTCGGAACCGGCTGATTTTGGGTGGTCTGGGTGTTTGTGACCCTGTCCCAGGGTGGGGAACTCGAGGTGCTCCTCTGTAAAACACTGAGGCATCGCTGTTCCTGCTGTTTCATGGATTTGGACTCCATGATGCCTGTGGGGCCCTTCAGCCCAGGAGATTCCCTGCTCCTGTTTGCCACAGCCTTGCTGGGCCTTGGCTTTGTTTGTGGTGTTGTCCTTGAGCCAGAGCTGAGAAGTTGGGATTTGGGGTATTTCCTGAAAGGAGAGGCTGCTCCCTACTTGCTCTCTGCTGTTTTCCTTTGGCTTTGCTGTGTGAGCTGCGGGTAGCGCTCTGGACACAGCTCCAGCCATGGAATGGGGTGATGGGGGTGGGACTCATCCTCTTCCTGCTGATCCTCACAGGCATAAAAAGGAAAAGAAGAAGGATAAAGACAAGGAGAGGAGCAGAGACGAGAGAGAACGGTCAACGAGCAAGAAAAAGAAGAGCAAAGACAAGGAGAAGGACCGGGACCGGAAATCCGAGAGCGACAAGGATGTGAAAGTATGTTCCAAAAATCCCCGGAGCTGCTCCCAGCCCCGCCCCGCCTCCCCCCGCCCCCCGGCCCGGCCCGCAGGGAGGTGCTAACGTGTCCCTTTCCCTGGGAAAGCAGGTCACAAGGGACTACGACGAGGAGGAACAGGGCTACGACAGCGAGAAGGAGAAGAAGGAGGAGAAGAAGGTGGCGGATGCTCCCTCCCCCAAAGGGAAGGAGCCCGGAGCCGAGAAGGGCAGCGGGGATCCGGGCAGGGAATCCAAGGTGAACGGGGACGACCACCACGAGGAGGACATGGACATGAGCGACTGAGCCCGCCCACAGCCCCTCCAGTGTGATCCTTTATGCTGTACTTGTTAATCCTCAACCTAGATGTATCCAGCTCCGAGCTCTCCATGGTCTGTCCATCCCAATACTAACTCACACCCAAAGCTTGAGACAGGGATCCCCGGCTCGGGGGCCCAGCTGGGGCCGGGCCAGGCCGCACGTCCCTCCCACAGCACGGGCTGGGCCACCCCTCCTCCCTCCCTGCTTCCCTCCCTCCGGAGTGTCCCACAGTGTGGGGAGTGTGGCACAACCCCCCTGTCCTGTGGGAATGCCCCGAGTGTGGCACAACCCCCCTGTCCTGCAGTCACCGAGGGGCTGCCGGCGCCTCCCCCACGCTCCAGAGTCGGCCTTGGATCGCACCAGCTCTTTGTGCTCTTGGCTTTAGTTCTGGTTTTAAACCACGTGCTGGGCTTGGTTGGGTTTGGGTTCCCATGGTTTGGTTGGCTTTGCCCAGGGTTCTATGCCCTGACCTTCCTGAGGGCTCTCTCTCCACCGTGTTCGTTTAGCTCCATCCAGGGCGAGCTGGAAGGGTCTGAGTGAGCTCGGGAAGGGGAATCCTGCCCGTGCCCAGTGAGGGAGGGTTGGGGGAGCAGCTTCACCCAGGCCTGGGGGCTCAGGAGCTCACCCACTGCAGCAGGGAGTGCATTTTAAAATGACCCTGGTCTGTTTTTAAAGCAAGTCCATTGATAATGTACTTTTTACTTGATCTCAAGTCGTACAAACGGATAAATTTGTGTTCCTGTCCCGGCCGTTCCCTCCCTCCCGCACTCGGTGATCCCATGGTATTTGCAGAGTAGTTACCCAAAGCTGTTCCTTAGTTCCAGCAGCTCCAGAGCTTTTACTTTTGTGCAGTTAAAGAGACAAAAGTAGCCGACAGTCTGTGCCATGTCGATGTACAGTTTCGGAAAATGTTTTACAAAACTTTGATAATAAAACCCTGAAACTTCAACTCCTCTTCCTAGAAAACTCCTGGGTTTTATTTCCACTGCTGGATGCACCAAACTTTACCTCATTCCTTACAGGGGAATTGTCCATCTCCCTGTTAGAGTGAAGAAGGAATTATTTTACTTGGGAGGGGAAATGGGTCAAAATGGGAATGTGGAGGTTGATGGGACCTGGCAGATGGAAAGCACGAGAAGGCTCTGGGGAGACTTGGAGCAAGCACAGTTATAAAAATCTTTGTTTTAACTGGCAGTGCTTGAAGCCCTTCCTAGAAGGGTTCCTGCCCCTTTAGAAACAGATTTTCCATCAGCAAATCTGAACCTGCAGAGGGAGACCCTGCTCACTCAGCTTGGGCTGATGCTGGGGGCAGGAGAGCAAGGATAAGTTTAAAAATTAAAAATCCCAACCCCCAAAAAAGCCCCCAGCCCTCCCTCAAAAAACCCAAAAACCCCAAAAAGTCTCCAAAAATCCTCTCAAAGCCCTCCTGCAGCGCCAAAGCCTCCCTGGAGATCCTGGCTTTGCTCTCCATTCCCCTGTGCTCCAAGGGAGCCCATTCCTGGAGGCAGGAGGTGAAATCCCTGGAGGAACAAACCCCGTTGAGTGAATTTGAGGCTCCTTTTCCTCCCTCCTAGGCAGCTGTTCCCAACCTGCTCCCTCAGCTCTGGGTGAGGCCAGGAACTGCTCCCCCCATCCTTTCCCCATAAAACCTGGGATTCAGAGGGCTGAGAAGAGGCTGTAATGAAAATGCAGGATTTTATTTTAAAAATGACCAAGAAAATGCCCTTGCAGAACGCAGCAGCAGGAGCTCATTCCCTCCCTCCCATCCCGCTCCCACAGCAGAGCTGAGACAGGAGAGGGAAGCCTGGATTGCACAGGTGGAGCAGCTTCCAAATCCAACAGCATAGTTTGGTCTTTATTCTAACAAATGATACAACCCAAAGTGACTATGAGTGAAGGGAAGAGAAAAACAGGGAGCAGACGACAGGAAAACGCAAGAGACGTGACTCGTTTTCCATGGGAGTTAACAAATTGTCAGGAAAAGAAAAGTGAAACTGCAGCATTACAGGAATTGGTTAATCCAGATTAAATAATGCAGTTCTCCTGGCAGGAATTACAACTCAGGAGCAGAGGCAGTAAAATAACAGGGTCGCTGGGAATATCGACGGAATTGGGTGGGATTCCAGCACAAACACATCGGGGGGACAATGGGGAATTGCAGTGGTGGGAGTGCAGTGGCTGGACAGCAGCTCCAGGAGAGGAAAACCAGGGAGTTCCCTTTGCCACGGGACACAGCAGGAGCTTGGAAGACCAGAGGACCAGTTTGGTTCAGAAACAACCCGCGGGATCCTTCCGCAGTGAGGTCGGAATTGGGTTGAGCAAAATTCCTGGCCGGCTTTAAGAGCCATAAAATCCTCGGGATGAAAGAAGCGGTGGGAGGGGAGCCCCGAGCCCCCAGGAGCAGCGGGATGTGATTCCCACTGGCCTGATCCAGCTCCCTGACTCCAGCTGGGGTGTCCAGGAGGCTGCTCCTGGTCCCCCCGACCTTCCCAGGCCACGGGGATGAGCTGGAGCTGCTGCACGGACACGATCCACGGATCCGTGCTCACTCCCAGGGACCAAACCCTCCTGTAACACCTGGCCTGGCCTTCAGGAAAGTGGGAAGAGCCCAAGTGAGGCTCTGCTGGATGGATCCTGCTTGGAAAAGGAATTTCCCAGAGCCATGGCAGAGGGGAGGGACCCTGTGCCCCACCCAGGAGACACAAACCCTCCCCGTGTCCATGCAACACAACCCAGTGATAAAAACAGGCTTTAGTTGAGAAAACATGGATATCAACATGGATCTCAACGTGGGCAGCCCCTCGGGATCCACAGGCTCAGCCCAGTGTCCCTCTGACTGCCAATTCCTGCGCTGCATCCATCGGGAATGGATGTCCCTGCGTGTGAGAACTCCTCACCCAGAATGTGCAAACAGGAACCACATCCCAGGAGGGGGAAAAGTACTGAGAGCAGCTCTTGGAGCCCACGGGGCCACCCTGGCAGCTGGGGAACAATCCAGGGAATTCCCATCCCTCAGCTCCACAGGGAGAGCAGGAGCAGCCGGGGTTTCCTGGGATAAAGCAGAACAAGGACAGTTCCAAAGCTGTGCCTGCGTTCCAAGGCAGAACAAACCTCAGGAGCAGCTTCCTGCAACCCTTCCCACAGACCCTGCAAGTGTCCCAGGGAGCAGCCATGTCCTGGGGGATTAAAACCCCCCAGATCTGCAGCCAGAGGCCACAGGAACCACAGGAAGCACTTCCAGGACCTGTCCTGGGCTTCGGGCAGACTTCCACGGATGGAGCCACAGGAGCCTCAAGCCCATGGGAAGCCACCTGAAACCCTTTTTGTTTTCCAGTTCCAAGCCCAGGATCCACCCTGGGATCCAGCAGTGGCTGCTTCCATGGAGCCAAGGATGAATTTGGGAGAACCAAAAATGCAAAGAAACACAAATCCATGGATGCTCCCAGTACCACTGAGGAAAGGGAGTTCTGACATTCCCCTTGGGGAGGAACCTCTCACCTTCACTGGAATTCCCAAGGAATGGGGTACCCTGTACAGCACCAGCTTCAGCTCCACCCCTGGCACAGGTCCTGCAGCTACACAAAACACCCTGAAGGGACCTTTGGGAGGGGACAGGGACCTCTGGGAGGGGACAGAGCCCTGTGCTGCCCCACGGGCACCGATCCAAACTCCAGCTCAGCCCCACAAACATTCCCAGTCTGTCCCAGAGGATCCCAGGAGCAGCACAGACGGTGCCAGCTCATCCCAGAGGTGTGAAACACATCAGGAATTCATCATTACTCGGGAGAACAAGTTCCATCATTCCCAGAGGATGCTCCACACCTGCCCTGAGATGGCACTGCAGGAGTCACTTCCCTTTGCTTGTTTTCCCTAAAGTGGTATTTTAGATTCGAGTTTGAATTAACAGCAAAGCTGCACTGCTCCCCTGTCCCTGTGATCCCCTGTTCCCCAGGTTCACAGAGGTGCTGGAAAGGACCAACCCAGCTTCCCACTCCAGTGCTCCTGGACTTTGCTGACAGTGACTCCCTGGGCCTCCTCCATGTCCTTCCCCAGAGCAGCCTCTTTGGGATGGATCAGAGATTCCAGCAGTTTGGAATCCCCTGCTCTCAGGTGTGCCTGACACCTTGCCCTGTGCTGAGCCCCTCCCTTGTCCCTCGTGCTCAGCACAGGTGTTCCCTCCACTGAGCATCAATGATCCTCTTCATTATAAACTTTGATCCTTAACTCTATGGAATTCCAGAAAAAGTTTTACCTACAGTGCACAAAGAATATAATTTGGAAAATATTTACATTTTTGTACAATGACACCACAGCACTTGAATCTAAATTTCTTCATACAAACAAATAGCACCATCAGCCTTCTGCACAAATCTTGCCTAACAAACCCCAAAAAGGTGGACTATTGTTAGATGAGGAGACTGGAACAACTGGGAATGGGAATAAGCTCAAGGAGCTGGAGTACTGAAACATCCATGAAGATGGACAAGATGAGCTTTAAGGTCCCCCCCACCCCAAACCAGTCTGGGATTCTCTGTGATTGAACCACGAAGAGGCAGGAAATGAATGTGGAAACAGCCCAGTGAAAGCTGCCCATGAGCACCACGATGACCCCGAGTGCAGGAAGGGTAAAGCCTGAGCTTTTCCCAGTGCCTCTGTACATCCCGGTTTTCCAGGCTGCTGAGGGCACACACAGACTGACCTGGTGGTGCTCGGCCTTTCTGGACACCTCTCCCAGGTGAGGGTCAGATAAAGGATTAACAAGTGACATTCCTGGCCAGGCAGCCCTGGAGTGCTCCCCAAAAGCACAGGGAGCCAGGGAGGGAGCAGAGAGCAGGGAGGGAAGCGGGAATGAGGGATCAGGCAGGGACAGCACCGGGCTGGGCCAGTGCTGAGGAGGTGCCTCGCTCCCTGCAGAGCACAGCTGGCTCTGCCCTGGGGTGCAGGAGGAAATCCAAGTGTCAGTGGTGCCCATTTGGTTCATTCATCTACAGCCAAGGCATTCCTTGGGGATACCTTCCAACATTCCATGGCTGAGCTGTGAGCTCAGGGAACAGGGAGCACGGGAAGGACGGGGGTTCACCCCCAGCCCCAGCTCGGTGCCAAGGTCCAGCAGCGCCTCGTGGATCACCACAAGCATAAAAAAATTTAAAAACCAGCAGCTCCTCCCAGCTGGGGGTGGCAGCTCCCGGGCCAGGACTGGCTGTGCCAAAGGGAATGGCAGCAGGAGGCTCTGGGAAACGGGAGCTGGAGGGGCTGGATGCCCAGTGCGGTGCCAGCACATCCGCACTGCTGCTCTTCCCTTGGCTCACCGAGTTCTTCCCTTCCCGCGCCCCACGGCTCTGCTCCGCTCTGGGAGCCGTTCCCCCGGCCTGGGATCCGCTGTGGACGCTCCCCAGGAACCTTCCAGCCCCCTTAGAGGTCCGGGAAGCGGCTGGGATCCTCCTTGTAGTCGTCGGGAATGGTGAAGATGGAGTCATCGAACTCGTCGTAACGGAACTCCTGGAACGTCACAGTGGCCGTGATGGTGGGGAACACCGGGATGTCTGCAGGGCAGGGACAGGCCACGGTGAGGACAAGGAAAAGCCAGGAATGGCACCAATCCCCATCCCTACAAGTGTCCAAGGCCAGGCTGGATGGGGCTTGGAGCCAGCTGGGATAGTGGACGGTGTCCCTGCCCGTGGGAATGGGAGAACAAGCTGGAATCCCAACCCAAACTGCTCTGGAATGCTGTGTAAATATGGCAAAGGTAGAGCACAGCCTGTCCAGGACAGGCAGGCTCACACAGCTCCCTGCGATTCCACTAACCCTGTATCCCTTAGGAAAGGAGCTGCTGCTTCTGGGATCATCTATCCCGTGAGTAAGTTGATTTTTAGACATTTCCATCTGTTAAAAGTGCAGGAATTCTATATTTTTTCATTTAAAGTAAATCTACCACCAGTAATCCTTGAA